GCCATCAGGTGAGGTTCTAGGTGCCTCTTGGGGTAGCCAGCCATGGTTCTTGGGGCTCTTGCAAAGCCATGGCACCACCCTGTGTGCAATCATTCATTGTTGCCCAGTCCTTTCTCTGGTGCTAGCCCCGTGGCATTGTGCTCTGTAGGTGTGCCCTCACTCCAGCATGGAAGGTATTACAGTCTGCAATGGGGCTCTTGCAAAGCCATGGCACCACCCTGTGTGGCATCATTCATTGTTGCCCAGTCCTTTCTCTGGTGCTAGCCCCGTGGCATTCTGCTCTGTAGGTGTGCCCTCACTCCAGCATGGAAGGTATTACAGTCTGCAGCTTGTCCTTTCCTTAACCTTGGCATTCCTTCCAGAGCATTTTTTCAGAAATATTTGGGAGCACTAAAGCCGAGGGAGAAGTCTCTAAGGCACTGGCTGTCCTAGCTGGGCTTGGCTGGAGTGAGGGGCTCTCTGAGGAACCTAGGTGGTGGGAGGGCTCCTGATATTCCAGCAGTTGGTGAGTGTGCACCCCCTGCAGGAGCTTGTGGAGTACTACCAGTGCCACTCTCTCAAGGAAAGCTTCAAGCAGTTGGACACTACGCTCAAGTTCCCCTACAAGTCCCGGGAGCGTGCTACCACCAGGACCTCAAGCCGGTCCCCAGGTAATGTCTGTGCCCAGGGATATCCAACTTCCAGGGCCAAGATGCTCCCTGTCCACCAGGGTCAAGAGTTGCTGCCCCCATCCCTGAGCGTGGACCCAGCCAATCCATCTGTCACCGGTGCTGACCCATACCCCTTCTCATTTCATGTAGCAGATGGGGTCTGCACTGTTACTCTGGCTCTTGACGCCTGTGCTTGGAGCTGACAATAGTGAGGAGCAGTGGGTAGGATCTGGGAACAGATCCCTCCCTGGGTGCCCTGGGGCCTTGGCTGTGCAAGCCAGCTGTCTATGTAAAGGAGGGACTCCAAAGCCAAGAACAGGGGAGCAACCTGGACCTTGGGACAGAGACAGGTCCAGAGTGTTTGGCTTTTAGCTCAGAGCTCTTTCCCCTAGTAACCCATGTCTCCAGTCTACAGGGACCCGCAGAACCATGAGACGAGTGTAGAGCAAGCAGTGGCTTAGCCTTGCTTATGCTAGGCCCCTGCCCTCCCTGGTGTCCTACTGAGGTCAAGCCTGGCATCCCCTGTGCTCCTTGGCCGTCAGCGTCATGCCCTCTGTCTTATGCTCTCTCTTGCCTCTTTGCAGCTTCCTGTGCTTCCTACAACTTTTCTTTTCTCAGTCCTCAGGGCCTCAGCTTTGCCCCTCAGGGCCCCTCCGCTCCCTTCTGGTCAGGTACCTCTACTGCTCAGGGCCCAGCCTGATGGGTCCCCCTGGCTGTGCAGCCTGGTGCCGGGTGGGGGAGGGAGGCTGGGAATCAGGCCGAGCCTGCTGCTCATGAGGACACATTAGGCAGGGCTCTTCCCTGGCCGTACTGATAGCTGCTTCCCTGCCTCCTCAGCTGTCATCTTTCACGCCATTGGGAACTTTGCCTCTGGTTGTGGGATATGTGGGCAGGAGGGGCGGAGATGGCGACCACTCTGCGGCTGTGAAAGCTGCCATGGGAGCTGGATGGGTGCTAAAGGAGAGGGCTTCAGTCAGCCCTGGTACGACATATTTTCTGTTGCCAGAGCCAAAGCCCTTCTTGTGTGGCTGTGTGTGTTCCCTCACTCACTGCCATTGTCACCTGTTCCTCAGGACTTCTGAGTTCTGAGCTGAACCAGTTCAGTGGGTTTCCAGTCTAGTCTGGAGATCTGGGATGGGGCCACCTCGAGGCATAGTGGTCAAGGCATGGGTGCCCGCTCTGTTCACCAGCGACATGCTTGTTGCCTGTGATAGCTGCCCCGCATGGGTGATGCCCTCCAACCCTCTTCTAGTGCATGCATGGGTATGTCTTATACCCAAACCCACCAGGGTGTGATGGGCCCTGAGCTAGAGGCTAGTGTGTCCCTCCAGAGACCTCTAGCTGTGGGCACAAAGCCACACTCTAGGCAGGGAAGAGACCTCGCTCAGTCTAGGGGCCTCTGGGCTCTGACTGAGCAGTTCCTGCAGTTGTGTGATGTCCCACCCTGTCTGTCCCAATAGTGTTTACACCTCGGGTCATTGGCACAGCTGTGGCCAGGTACAACTTTGCTGCACGGGACATGCGGGAGCTGTCGCTGCGGGAAGGTGACGTGGTGAAGATCTACAGCCGAATCGGTGGGGACCAGGGCTGGTGGAAAGGCGAGACGAATGGACGGGTGAGTCACTTGCTTGGCTTGAGGGCTTCATGCAGAGGCCCGGGGCTGGTTCTGACCCAGTTGGACCCAGACAAAGCTATTCTACAGCCTCTACTATGCTCAGCCTTGTTCTAGGCACACTGTGTCTGACATCTCCCTGATGTCACAGGGGTAGGGGTGAGGACTGAGAATCCAGATGTTCACTGTGATCCTAGAGGCACTGGTCAGGTCTCCATCCAGACCCCACAGATCTTGTCCTGTGTCAGACCCTGTTTCTCTGCCTTTGTAGTCACTCAGAAACGGGTTTTACATACAGTCTTCCAGTCACTTGCAGGTAGGGAAGCCACAGGGACCCATCAGGTCCTACCCACCCCCTCTTGTTTCCAGAGACTTCCAGGTGGTTTATTCCCCCAGACTCTTTCCCCCAGAGATCTTGCAAAAAGCCCCCTCTATTCCTGGACCCATCTAGATCCACTGGCTTTTGACTCAGTCGCTGAGCATATTTTTGGAAAGGCAGGGAGCTCCATGTGCCACCAGCAGGACAAACTGGATTTTCCTGGGGCTGCAGCTACCCAGACCTGTCTGCACTTGTCTTCAGACAGTCTTGGCTCCTCTGCTGAACATTCTACAGCTGGTAGCAGGAGCCATTCCATTCCCACTTAGCCTGACATCTGTGTTGCAGACCCAGATATGTTCGTTGATACCCAGCTGTCCTTCAAAAGAGTGAAGGCAACTGAGTCATAGCAGCAACTTTGAGGACTAGCCCTGAAAGCAGGCCTATGATAGTTGTGTTGGAAGCAACAGGGTCTGTGATTCAATAACTTGGGCCCTCACTGGGTCCAGGCAGGCACAGTTTGAAAATAGCTAGTTTGAACTTTTGTGAGTGGCTCTTGTTGATTTAGCCTGCTTGTAATTGTGAAATGCCCCTTTATCTCTGGTAATGTTACTGCTAATCCTGTCTACTAACAGAGGGCAGCAGTTTTCCTTGAGTGGGTGCTTTTCTAACCACCTCTCCACACTCTTTCTTGTTACTGTGGGTTTTTTCTTTTTCCTTGTACTTGAGATGAGTTTTTTTAATAACCAGTTGGAATTTTTAAAGTGAATCTAATGTGGCAGTCTTTGCCATTTAGTAGGCTTGTTTAGTCCATTTACATTTAGTATAAATATTGGGCTATTCATTTGTAAATCTTATAACCAGTTGGAATTTTTAAAGTGAATCTAATGTGGCAGTCTTTGCCGTTTAGTAGGCTTATTTAGTCCATTTACATTTAGTATAAATATTGGGCTATTCATTTGTAAATCCACCATCTTGTTGCTTATTGTTAGTCAATTACCCCCCTCTCCTTTCTGGGCAACTTTTGGGTTAACCAATATTTTTTTTTTCTATCTACTTCACTCCTCCTCCTCATGATTGATTTTTTTTTTTAGTTATATACTTTTTTTACCACATAGGCTAATATCTTGCTGGTTACAGATGCACTTGGACTATACAGAGTCCCTTCAGAGAGGACTTTTACTCCTGAGACGGTATGAGGACCACACAGCCTTGAATTATAAATTATTTATCTCCCACTTTTTGTGTGATGTTGCCATGTATACTCTATACTTTTTAATATTTGAGAGTAACTGCCCAAATGACATTTCTTTGCTCCTTAATATTTCCTGAGGTCAAGGCTTCTCCCCTTTGACGTAATACAGTTACGTCTGGTCTGTAGTCAAATTTTCTAATTTCACTAGTCTTCTCAATTATCTTTCTTCTTGCTATTGTTTACTGGCTACATGGGCTACTGACCATGACCGTCATACTAATTGGAATGTTCTACAGTTTCTCTGTCACATATGAATTATAACCCGGTTTGGAGACAGGACAGTTATTTTTATCCCGTGGTTAGGTTTGACACTCCTTCACGTTTAGACGGAGGCCATAGCTTTATGTTGGTGTACACAAGGGGGTTGTCATTCATCAAGGTTACAGTATCTATTCTCTTTCAGTCTGTTACTGTGATAAAACACTCTGACCAAAATCAGCTTGGGGGATGGAGGAAAGGGTTAATTTCATCTTACACATGTCAGGATCGATTGCCTAGGGGATGGTGCTGCTCACAGTGGGCTGGACTCTCCTACATCAATTAACAAACAGTCAAGAGAGTCCCACAGACAAGTCTGTCTGATCTGGGAAATCCCTTAATCAAGGCTTCTCTCAGATACTAGCTAGGATGGATTCTGATTGTGATTCTGTTCCAGATTCTACTGCTGTCTGGGGTACCAGCCTCTGGCAGCACAGGACTTTGAAAGAAATCCATAGAGTTGGTGTAAGCTAAGCTTTTTCTATCTGAGGGGATATAGGGAAAAAGACACACCCTCTCTTGATGGCTTTCTTTTTTATTCTCTGTTCTCTCATGTTCTTTCTGCATTCTTTCTACTGTATACTTTTTTTTTTCTACATCTTATATACTCCAACAAAGTTTTTCAGGCAATGTAGGATTTTCAATGTGGTGACATTCTGTTTTTCGAGTGAATGATTGCAATGAATACAAAACAAACAGTAAAAACCAGCATGCTTTCCATATCCCTTATATGATTAAACATTTTACATACTACAGGTGAAAAACAAATCCCAAGAACCCACATGTATTCATACCCAAGTAACTTTTTAATGATTAGCTGTGGGCAAGCAAGGGATTCTTGTCAGGTCTTTTACTGTCAGGCTGCGTTTTGTTTGCAGTTACAAAGAAAGGGCCAATTACTTTTATTACTATTATTTATTACTTTATTACTTGAAAGGTACTCTTATAAGGAATTGAAAACCTAAATTTTTTTTTTTTTTTTGGTTTTTTGAGACAGGGTTTCTCTGTAGCTTTGGAGGCTGTTCTGGAACTCATTCAGTAGACCAGGCCGGCCTTGAACTCACAGAGATCCACCTGCCTCTGTCTCCCAAGTGCTGAGATTAAAGTGTGAGCCACTACTGCCTGGCAAACCTAAACTTTTTATATGAAAAAGAGTCAGTCAGCTCTGCTTTAAATCTTTAGGGTGCATATCCACTCATCAATAGTTTTTTATGTTAGGAGATAGAGGGGCAGAAAAGGGTATAAGGAATTAATCATCACCTTTGGTCATCAGTCAACCCTAGTAAGAAAGGTACGTCAACCAATGGTAATTGGGCTGCTTTGTTCTTATTCCCTGACCTTAACGAGTTCTGCATTCAACTATGTGCCTTTCTAAAACTTTAGATTGTCTTCTTGCGTTCTTGGTTTTTTTTTTTTTTTTCACCTCAAAGCTATTTAACAAAAACATCTTAGACTTTGTTATCTTCAAAGCTTTGTTTCAGCTGTGATGCACTCCGAGACCTGTGACCACATCCCCTGACATTGAGGTTAAAAGAATTTAAACTAGCTGGGCTACTGGGACTCTGTTTGTTTGTTTTTTTTTTTTTTTTTTCTCAATCATTAACTTGAGCTACAATCTGTGCAGCTCCTCGACATTGAGGTTAAAAGAATTTAAACGAGCTGGGCTACTGGGACTCAATTTTTTTTTTTTCTCAATCATTAACTTGAGCTACAATCTGTGCAGCTCCTTAGGTGAAACTGGAGGACCCTAGCTGTGAAACATATTCTTGTATTTGTTTTTATTCATCAAAACTCTGTATAGGCTGTCATCATCATAATCAGTTTAGACAGTACAGCTTAGGGAGGGATCGTCGTCTTGACAATCACCAGATAAAGATACCCAGTAGAAGGAGAGGTTTCCAAGAGATCTCGCACATCCACTTAGACCATGCTAGAGGAATGTTGCAGTAGCACGCATGTAAAGGCACCACAGAAGCAAAAGCCATTCTGGGATCTGTAGTCCCATGGCCTTGCCTAAACAAGATTCACCCTACAGAGAATGAATTGCCCCCTAGCGGGCTGACACTGGGAACTTCAGTTGTCACCTGCTGCTCCTCAGCCATGCTGTCAGCAAGGTTCTCATTGTTCGTGGAATTAGCTTTGATCTTGGTTACGAGTCTGTCTGATCTTCCAGGTCCCTCTCTTTTATATGTCCATCTGCATTCTATCCTGGATTGACCAACTGTTAGTCCTGCTCTTTGTCTAACCTGTTGCTTGATCCTTCTGGATTCTTTTAAGTCATTGTGTCTTTTGATTCTAGGTTTGTTTGTTTTTGTTTTTGTTTTTTCCCTCTCCTTACCATCTTTCCTTTTTGTCTATTGGTTAGTTCTATTTTATTTTTGAAGCTGGTCTCACTGAGAAGGGCTGGCTGGCCTTGAACTCAAGGCCATCCTCAGTCTCCTGGATGCAGGGGTCATGGACATGCATTGCCACATCTAGATTCCTGCCTAGGAGTTCTTTAATTTCTGATTCCTGTTCCGTCCTGACCCAGGACTCCTGTCTGCTGTCTGTGTTTGCTTTTGATTTTCATCACTGTCATGGCTGAGGGCCAAGCTGTATGTCAAGAGACATGGGAGGATGAGATTGTCTCAGTAGGGTCTGACACTTTTCTCATTGGCAGATCATAAACTTGGTCCAGACTCTAATCTCTCCTCAAGGCTCGGTGAGGCCTGGGTGAGAGCTCTGGTGCCTAGGAGGGTTCTCATCTTCCTAAGCCCCTCCTGCCCCTGCCCTCACACACACACACACACACCCTTGCCATGTGTATGCACATGCAGACACACATGTCCTGCTATCTCTTTCAGATCGGTTGGTTTCCTTCGACGTATGTGGAAGAGGAGGGTGTCCAGTGAAGGCGAGACTTGGACAGGACTCACAGATGTTCTTGGGAGTCTCCCCAGCTCTGAAGTCCACCTCTGGCCTCTCCATGGCTCTGGGAACTGCCTGCCAGGCCTGCAGCTGTTATGACCCATAGGGATGGGTGTTCCACTGTCACCTGCCCTGGGTTACCTGTCCCTGGGTACATTCCTTGTACATAGAGGAATCCTGTGCTGACCACACCCAGAGCACCAAGGAGAGGGAGCTCAGGCAACATGGCCAGGCGGGTGTGGATGACAGCCAAGGTCAGAAGTCACCGCCTGCCCCTCTAGATGTTCAGGAGCCTAGAACTCAATTCATGGTGTGCCAGGGAGGGCTGGGGACAGCAGAGGGGGCCCTCTCTAGCCCGCTCGGCCTTCCGCTGAACTGCCTGTCTTTTCTGCTGCTCTCTAGAGTAGGTGTCAGGTCTTGGGAGGCAGGCAGGACCAGACTGTGCTGTAGAGCACACTAGGCCCATCTGGGGACCAGGATCAGAGAGCTTGCACAGGAGCCCAGGGTCCTGCTGGCTCTGCAGCTCCCCCGCCCCCCACTGCCTCCCTTCCCAACACATTAGGGTCCTGCTGAGTGTTACTGGGCAGGCCCCTCTCTTGGGAGGGGCCTTTGGAACGATGACATTGCTGTCCCACCCCTGGCCCACCCCCAGTCAGTGGTACTGCTCTTCGTTTGTTGAAGCCTCTTTCCTGAGGTCTTCCCTGCCCTGCTGCCAGAGGACACATCTGTGGACCCCATAGGGCAGGGGAGAGAACCAGGCTCCCCTCCCCACTGCCTCTTTTCTCTCCAGGAGGCACTCTTCTGCATTCCAAACCATAGTCCCTAGGAGTCTGTTGGCCTTTGCACTAGATGTCGGTTCTAGCCCTTGTCTTCTGCATTCCAAACCATGGTCCCTAGGAGTCTGTTGGCCTTTGCACTAGATGTCGGTTCTAGCCCTTGACAGATGTCCTCACAAAGATTCCTGCAGCCCACACAAGGGGCCTGTGGCCAACCCAAAATAAGTGCTCTTGGGGTGTCTCCATCCCTTCATCTCCCTTTCCTGGTGCTTCCTGGCCTTTGACCTCTGGCTTGGCCAGCCCCTATTTTCTCCCTACCCAGAATTCTGTGTGAAAGCTTATGTGAAGACATGGACTTTTTGGGGCCCTTTCTCCCTCCATTTAGCTGCCCAGTCCTGGGTGAGGAGGGAACCAAGGCTAGGGTTTGAGACATTGTCCCTGCTGGAGTGGGGCTGGGCACCACCTTGCACCTGGGGATATTTTCCAGAGTTGGCCTCATGTCTTCGAGCTTGGTGCCCACATACAGCTTGCTGGGATGTGGGGTGAGGCAAGGAGGATTTCAGAAGATAGGGAGCAACAGAAGGCGGAACACCCTGGAAAGGCTGTGAGAAGCTGGTGTGGGCGTAAGGAGTTGGCTTGGAGAGAGTCGGGGGCTCAGGCCGCTTTGCACAGCTCCTCACCCAGCCTGCCCAGTGCCGAAGCAGGCTGTGGGGAGGACCTTGTCAGCCCCTCCCACAGGAATGCCCTCAGACCATCCCTGTGCTTTCGTTTTTTTTCTGGTTTTTGTTTGTTTGTTGTTGTTTTGTCCTATTATGTTTTGTTTTGCCTATTTGTATTTTAAAGGGGGGGAGTTGTAATTATTTCGTCTAAATCTCCCATTATATATGTGAATAAGAGTCTATAATAGCAAAATGATGTATATTTTAGTTTGTCATGATAGAAGTCATGATAATGAAGGACACTGAGAAAAAGAATCATCTAGAACCCCAGTTTTGTGAATGTTTTGTGTTTGTTTTGATGTTTGTATTTGGTTTGAGTTGTTGGTTTTCATGGCACACTGAGCAGGGTGGTGGGCAAGCTGTCCCACAGGCACCTCTGCAGGAGACTGGACACCATTTGAGGGCTGAGGGCTGGGGGCCTGAGATCAGCTGTGAACATTTGCAGTGCAATGCATGCAAGTCAGGGATGGGGGGTCCCACAGCCAGCAGCACCCCCTAATGGAACAATTGTACATTTGCCAATGGGTTTTCCTCCCAAGACTACGGTTTTTACTACAAATAAACCTACGTTCTATTCTGCAGCCGTGGATAACCTTTTGTGCCTAGGAGGGAGTAGCTGGCATCCTAAGTCCAGCAGGGTTTGTCCTGCCCAAAGCCTGGCTGCCAGATGGTTACCTCTGCCTGGCTGGCACAACATCCAGCAGAGTCCAGCAAGTGACTTTAGAGCAAGAGCCTCGGTCTTCAGAGATAAAAGCGCACTTTCTCCTCTATCATGAGTCCTGTATCATTTGATAAAGAAAACCTAAATAATCAAGTGTTTTGTCCCCATCACTACCTACGGAAAAAGCAGCCCATGCCTTAGGATCCCAGGCCCCCCTCCCAGTCTTCCATCCTTAGCTTGTACTTCTTCATGGTTACTTCACCACCTGGTGTGGCTCCCGACGTTCCTAATGGTATAACTGTGAAAGGAAGCAGAGGCCCCTGTCAGCTCTGTAGCCAGCACCTTGTTGCAGGACCACTTGTTGCTACAGTGATGCTTGGAAGTACACAGAGTGAGGTAGGTGTATGCTCACCTGGAGAAGGTGGTGTCCCGTTACCAAGGAAATGGATCAAGGCCTCAACATAGGTGCACCTTGTGGGTCCCTGTGACCCACACTTGGTTAGTGTGCACTCTGTGTGTCAACAACTATGATCATTATGATCATGTATCCTTCCCATGTGCCCATTTTAGAGACCAGTGAACATGAACATTTGTGTCCATCCCATCTATCCAGTTCACACAGTGGCAGTCACCCTGTACATGCTCAGACCCTTGTCTTGGCACGCCTACCCCACAGTTGGGTGTTTGGACACGTTCTAACTGGCCTGTGATGGCTTCAGCCACTGTAGTCTTCTGTGGGTTTTGCAACCAAAGCCATTGGGAAGTAGAGGGCAGAAGGACCACAGGGGCTTGAGCCACCCATCAGCCAGTTCCTGATGGTTATGTCCAGGTCTCATCACCCTCACTTCCTCTGGGTCTCTTCTGCCTTGGTGGTCTAAGTTCCCACTGTGTGGGCAGCAGGCGGAGGAAGCAGCACCCTCAACCCTGCTGCCCTTTCTGGAATATTCTTAGGTTCTAGGCTGTCCCTCTTGGGCCACAGTCCCCTGAGGGGCAGAGTCCTGGTTCCCAGTGGGCTCTGCACCTTTCTTGCCCCAGATGATCTCTGTCACCTCTGCTGTGACAAAAGCGTTTGACTGAAGTTGTGGGTACAGAAGCCCATGTCCTTGTGGCCCCAGACCTCATGGTCAAGGCCACCAGGTGTTTTTTCTGAAGGCTTCCTCCTTGGCTTGCAGTGGAAGCCTCTTGCTATGGTCTCTGGTGGACCCTATCCTTGTTGGATTAGGAGGTGGCGAGGACCTTGCTAACTTTGCCTCTAATAAGACCAATTTCTGTTCCTGGAAACCCTGAGGTACCCCGGGAACTGGAGCTCATGAGTTTCCTTTGCACAGTTCATCCCTAGCCCTATCCACACCACAACTATTCAGCATGCATGTCTTCCGGTTGCCTATTGGAGAAAAATGCAGTTGTCACCTGGTGGCCAGCTTACTTGGCACACTGCACTTCTAAACAGGAAGCATAGCACACCGTGCTCCTTAAGTTGGAACTCTGAATTCTGAAGTTGCCTGAGTAGCCAGTAGCTGGCCTCTGGATGAGTGTGCACTCTCCATGCCTCCTTTAATATGTTTCTTGCCCATAGAGACCCTGGTTGTGTGAGCATTCCCGTATCCAATCCCAGGCAATGTGCTAACCAATCCCAGTTAATAGCTTCTACTATGTAAGTAGCTGCTCACATGCCATAAAGCAGTCACTGTTCCCCGAGACCTCTGGAGTGGTTCATCTCCGAGCCCTTGGCTGTCTTGTCAGGAGGTATCAGGGTAACAGAGGCAGTTTACCACTGTCCTTCCAATGAATGGTGTGTCCTCACAACCCAACCTCAATTAAACCTCACTAAAGCTAAAAAATATAAAGTTAAAATGTAGAGCAACATTGTCTCTACAGTTCGAATGTACCCTTATCCTTGAAATTTTACTGGGTGGGCCTGGAGGGATGGCTTAGTAGTTTAGAGGGCTTGCTGCTTTTCCAGAGGACCTGAGATTGGTTCTGAACACCAAGCCTGTAGCTCCAGCTCCACGGGATCTGATGCTCACTTCTGGCCTCCACTGGCACTGCCCTCATGTGCATGTATACACAAACAGAGACATAATTAAAAATCAAGAAGTAAAATCCAGAAAATTTATCTTGTGCTGGGCCATAAAGTGAATTCTACACGTTCAAATCATACAACCTGGCTTCCTAGAAATCAGTAATACAACTCTTCCAAGGTAGAGCAAGCATTTTGTTCCTTAAACAAAAGTTTTAGTCTTGGCCAGTGAGATGACACAGTCGGTAGATGCATTTTCCACAAAGCCTAAAGACCTGAGTTCAATCTCCAGGAGCCACATGGTGGAAAGGGAGAACCAGCTTCTGAAAGTTGTCCTCTGGCCTCTACATTTGTACCGTGGTGTGCACGAATGCACACATAAGTAAATAAACAAGATATAATAATCTTTTTAAAGTTTAGTCTCTATTTAGTGTGGGACTGTCTTCTGAGCTAAATAGCTGCCATCTTTGAGAGTTCAGTTGTACCCTCTTGCAAAAGACCTTAGCTGGCCCTGCTGATAAGTTTACAGCCCCTCACAGAGGGGCAGGGATCCTCATCTGAGTATCTAACCACTCCATAACCCCTATTGTATGCAATTCTGCCCTAATCGTGTGTGGTCTTGGGAAGGGGGCTAGAGTACATAGGCCAAACAGACTAGGGGGAGAAGGGGCCCGTGTATATGACTATGGGAAAGCCCTCATCCCTACCTGGTAAAGACTTTTTTAGGAGGAGCATCCACACCCTGGTAAGGAAACCCAATAAACTCCTTCATTCCTGATGGTGAACTCTTGTGGCTTTGTACTTGGGTTTGTCATTGGGACTTTAGGGTGAAGACGTTTATGTTTCCGGGGGGCGGGGAGAAATTTGAGTAACAAATGTATTCGTTGTGAACAGATGACAGGGCTCTGAAATGGCACCGGTTGTAATGGCTGTGTCTTACTGAGACTGGCTCTGTTTCAGGGCAGAGAAGTGGCACTCACCAAGTCCCTCTCTAAGGCAGGAACTTGCACTGTCTGCTGCTCTGGTGATCTCAGCCTCCTGCCCTCTGTCACGACCTGATGTGTTTATATTCCCTCGTGATTCCATTCTGCTCCTTTTATGTGTCCTAACAAAATCAAGCTTGTATTTACACATGGGAGCTCTGTGGGGCAGTTCTCATCTGGGTCCCTTCTGATACTACCCCACATCTCGAATGCTCTCCTGATGGGATGTGTGATGAGAGCCCCTCCCCTTCAGCTCCATAGGAAGGCAAGTCTGCTCAGTTGGGATTTTGGTCTTCTTGAGAAGGGCCATAGACAACCCAGCAGACAAGAACAACTTCTGCCCAAGGTAGCCACCGATGACTAGGTCTGGGCTCCATGGCGCAGGGAATTGTCTCTTTCTATTGTTTGGTTCTCAGTGTGACCTCCTGTCAGAGTTAATGTTGGTAATCACCTTGATGGGCTCTAGAGTCACTTAAGAGACAAACCTCCCAGCATTTCTAGGAGGGAGTTTCTAGACTGGATTAATTGGGATTCGAGTACCTGCTTTGAGTGTGGCAGCAGCATCCTGTGGGCTGGGACCCTACACGGAAGTGAGCTAAACACCATCTCTCTCCATTTCCTGACTGGATGCAACGTGGCCAGCTCCTTCATGCTCCTGCTGCCATGCCTTCTCACTATGGTGAACTGTGACTGAAAACCAT